CTCTGCCCAACGCCAACACCCCATCAGCCCTGCCGGCTCCTCTGCTTCCTCCTGGAGCCTTCTGGGTCCGCTTACTCAGCTAAAATCTGTGTCTGGGCCACTAGGCTGTGAGTTCCTCTAGGAAGGAGATCTCGCCTCACTCGCCCTGAACATTCAATGTGCTGAAAGCCAGTCCCAGCACTTAGTAGGTGCCAACAAAACATTGTGTAATGAATTTATGACTAAACTAATGCCAATCACACTGACAGCTATGCTATCTACGCTATGACTGCAGCATTAACAGGAGCCAAACCAGTGGTTTTCAAACTTTATAGGGTGGGGCAACAGAAACCTTTTTTTAAATTAAATTTTATCTGATTCCCATATATCTAAAACAGATAGAGGGGAGGTGCTCTCTCTGCATGAAGCAATAAAGTAACAGTGTTCCCTCCAGCTTGGTCTCTCCCGGTCCCCTTCACTCACCCCCAGCCTCCTCTGCAGAGCTGCTGAAAACCACTAGACCTCAGAAAGACCACTACAGTCAACACATCAACAGCTACTCCGAGCCTTCGTTTGGGCCTGACACCAATCTCCAGCATTGCTCTTTCCTTTAAAAGAAACAGACACCCACCCTGAGAAATGCCATCTCCTAAATATACCTAGTAGAGGCCTCCTTGGGAAAACATGCTGCTACCATTCACCCTACAGCACTGGCCTAAAGAGAAAAGAGCTAGGTACCAATCTACCTTCACAGCAGCGGAAGTCAAGAGCTTCCCAAGGGCCATGCCTAGCATGAAACCTAACCAGTCCAACCCCATCACCTTTCACCCTGCATGGAGCACAGGCCCGGCACTCGACATCTCTTGGTAACCAGGAGACATAGATTAATTCTACAAAATCCTCACACACCACTTTCAGTCATCACTGTGCTCCCTGCTTCACATTCCCTCTCTCCCTTGCTTTCTGCCTCTTGGGTTACACAAATGCTCTGGTCCTCAAAAAGCCTCCATGAAAGTCCCTACCCTCACCCTGCTCATCCCTGGGGCTACAGTCCCCTCACTCCTCTTTGCTTCAGTGTGAGACTGATGAAGACCTTTAGACCGTCAAGTAAAGTGTTCTCAATTTTAAACTTGGCTCAGCAACTAATTCACTGTACAACCTCACATAAGTCACTTCCCTTCTCGGAGCCTCAGTTCACTCATCTGTAAAGTGAAAGGCTTTACCTAGATTTCTGACGGCCACTCCAGCCTCCGGGTTCTAAGAATGAGGATAGCTGGCCCCATGGATCAGAGGAAATACTGTTTCACATCAGAGCCGATGTCAGAAGAACATAAGAGAAAGTGCGGAACCTTAGGCATAAAGAAGAGCTGCAGAAGCTGAGAGAATGTATTCCAGAAGTGTGTACAATGTGGCAGAGTGGGAAGCAGAACTCTAGATTTATAAAGAAACTAACATTCATTGAGGGCCTGTTTGCCAGGCTTGACACCAGCTGCTCACCCAGGAATCAAATCAATGTGCATTAACTTCTGACTTTGCCTCTGAGGAGCTGTGTGACTTTGGGCAAGTCAGTCAGCTCCTGAGTCTTAGTTTGCTTATGTGACGAACCACACAAGCAATGGGTGAGAACCAGATGAGAGAATGTCTGTGAAATCATTTGATAAACTTTAAGGCAGCATGCACATAAGGAGCCCAGGTCACGGGAGTGCATGATGTTCTTCATCTCCTTGCTCAGTTACCAAAGCTTAGTTTGAACTTCATGGCTACCATCTCCCTGTCTCCTAAGCATTTGGCTTTGAGTTATCAGGTCACTGTAAGGAGAAATTAAACTGGAGAGCATCTGTCTCCTCTACACAACAGAGTCCTCCATGCTCAGACTGACCTAAGAGCCAGACCACATAAATCTTGACTCAGTGAGTCTTCTCCCGCACCTGACTTCTGAGTGAAAAATCAATACACCATACAAAATGTACTATAAGAAAGGGGGCCAAAACCATCCCCTGGGTTTGATGGAGAAGAAAAGACAACAATCTGCATATTCTTGCTGAGTTTACATTTCTCATTTTTGGAAATCAATACAGACCCTAGATGTCTTGCAGAGGGATAAGAACCCCTAACCGTGGTGGGCTGACTTTAACTCCAAAAAGGAGAGAAATCACCCAAGTGCCAGCCCCTCAGAACCAAGGCCAGGGCTGAAATCAAATCCCGTAAAGGCTTAAGCCTCAAGACCAAGAGGAATGCTGGCAGCCATCTCCAAGAGCGAGTCTACACAGCTTGTCTGGTTTTCTTTCATTCAAACCACAACCTCCTCCTTTCTAACTCCTTCTGCAACCACAGCCACTCTTCGTCTCCATAGTTAGCCCCTAAGTTTTCCCCTTACCTCTCCCTTCCACCAGTAACCACGGAAACCTCAGCCATCTTTCACCTTATCCAAACCACCAACCACATCCTAATCCAGCTCCGCAGTGAGACCAAAATCCACCCATTTCCCTGACCAAGCTATGACAATGTCACCCAACATTCCTACATCAGGGTCTGACAACCCCTTTGATTTGGTCCCCTCTTCCCTTAAGAATCATGGGCTCCACCACCAACCTGGCCTCTGCCTCCAGTCACATGACTCCCTTGCCCACACTCAACTCAGGTCTGGTCAATAAACTCAGCATGCTCCCAAGCCTCCTTCCCCATCATATAATCCCAGCACCTCAGTTATGCTCCCATAAACCTCCTGGGGCCTGCCTCCCTGACCTCTTGGTCACCCCATAAACCTGCTTACCTGCCACACTCCAAATACCTCTAAAACCCTCCACCCTTCACCAGAAACCTGCCTGTTTCTTCTAAGGATACTTATTCATTCATTCAACAAATGTTAGGCACCTACGGGGTGCCAGGCACTGCACTGGGCACTGGAGATGTTAGCAGTCCACTGAACTAGGAGCTCTCCAAGCATGTGGATATGGTCAAAGTCAAAGCACTTTTCTAATTGTGGCCGACCCACCTCCCATCTAGTATACAGTATGTAAGAGCCAACACATATCGAGCACTCACTATGTGACAGGCACCGTTCCAAACGTGCATTATCTCATTGAACACTCGATCAGCCCAGTGAGGCAGATCCTATTATTCCATTTTACAGATGAGGAAACAGAAACATACAGAGACAGGGTAATAATGATTCAACAGGAATGTGACAGGCCCTGGGCGAAGTGCTTTACCTGCCTCACTTACCTCATTTAAACCTCACAGTAATCCCACAAGGCAGGTTCTGGGAATATCCCCACTTTGCAGAGGAAGAAACTGAGGCTTACGAGGATACTGATTATCACATCGATAGCTAACTCACATCTACTGGCCAGGTTGGGTGCTAAGCGCTTTTCCAGCTTTATCTCATCGAATACTCACACCACCACCCAGAGAGGCAAAGTTCCCACTTCTCAGATGAGGAAACTGAGGCTAAGAAAGGCGAAACAATTTGCCCAAGGTCACAGAGCGAGAAAGCTGGTAGTCCCAGAACTCGAACCCGGTTCTCTCCAACTCCAGAGACCGCGCGACTTGACCAAGGTCACACGTGAGGCAGCGGCAGGCGCGGCGAGTGGACCCGGCGCCCCAGCCCCGACCCCCACGCGCCGGGCCCTCCGCTCCGCAGCCGGGTGCCCCAACC